AATTGGTTTTACATTAAAAAACCTCAATTTCATTTCAGTAATAATTACCATAACTTTAGTATGCGAATTCGTCTTAGCGTAGTGGTGACTAGAAGCCAGGCAGCCCCTTCAGCACAACCAAAGTAGTAGGGAGGGAGAACAGAGTGCCAAAGAGAAGGAAGGGACCTCTCTGTGAAAGAGCAGGTGTACCCACATGCCGCCGTACGGAAAGACATGCCCCGGGGCTAAAGAGGAGGCTCAGCCACTGACTATGCCACCACCAAAGGTCCCAATGAATACAGGCCTTCTGAGTGGGAAGCTAGGGATTGCAGATAAAAATCTATGAAGGTATCCCTGCCCTGCCAGAATGCTGCAGACATGACCTCCTAAAGGAGGACCCATTGAGAGAAGGGCAAAGAAAGCCAGGGCCAGAGCCCTGACCTTCTCGAACTTCTCCAGAGGTGGAAGGGCTAAGCCCCGAACCCTGTCAAAATGGTTCCCCAGGAAGACGAAGTCCTAAGATGAAGGAACCTCTGACTTCTCTCTGGAAGGAATGAAGCCGACTGAGCAAGAGTTTAAGGACCAGACGAGTGTCCTTCACTAACGATTCCCACACCAAAAGAGGCATGAGGGAGTCGTCGAAATAGATGTGGACGTCTATTCTGCGTGAGTGAAGGAAACCACCTGCAGCAACTTGATGAACACCAAAGGGGCTGTCGTGAGCCCGAAGGGCATCGCTTGCCTTGGCAGCATGGTCCCTACTTCCTCCTGAAGCACCCGAGCCCTTTTCGAATCCCCCGGAGGAGGAAAGAAAAAACGGCCGGGAGGCGAGGGGCGAATCCTGAAGAAGGGGAACACCTAGAAAATCCCTGACCACCGACAAAAGCCCAAGCGCCATCTGTAATATCCTGCCACTGGGGAAGGAAAGCAGAGAGACGTCCGCCCACAGGGAGTTCCGGATGGGGCAGATCGAGCCCCTGCCAAACCAGCGAATCGTCTGCCCACCCGGAGCCTGAGCCTGCGGGAGAAGGACATGAGCCCGGGACAGGAGAACCGCCGTCCACCCGGCCAAGAAGCAGAAATAGTCAGGAGCCCTTCTTCTTGCCCCCAGGAGGTTTCTTACCCTTCCTACACTTCCCCTTGTTGCCGTTGAAGTGAGGCTGGGACTTTGGCTGTGCAGAAAACTGAGCAGCCGAAGACTTCGCCTTCTTCTTAGGAGGCGCTGACCCCTGCGAGGCACTGGCCTTCTCAGCCTGAAACCTCTTCACCAGAAGTGCTGAGGCGACCGAGTAATTCCTTCATATCCCTCCGAACCCAAGGAAGTACTCCCCTGAATAGGGTAGAGCCCTAGAAGGGGGCATTCAACAAGCGGAAACGGTAGGGTAACTGGACTGGGCGGAATTTCAGAACTGAAAACTGCCTAGCCAACACGGCATTGACGAGCAGAGAAACCTGCAAGGCTGCCGTGTCCTGTATGTCGGCCTGTTCCGTCTCGGATAACCGACACTCAGGCAAATCGGATACCCTGTATAGACAAACTGTCAGGAAGTCTATGTATGACAGAACTTGGATGGAGAGGTGCAACATTCTCTCCATCCTGTGGTGCTCTGTGGGATCGAACACCACCTGGTCCACTGATTTGCCGGGCCAGACAGCCAGCTGTCTCAACTCCAGCTGTGCTGGTTGAGAGGCCAGCTGCCCGTCATGTGTGGCATAGTTGGAGGCTGAAGCCTCCGACAAATCACCAACACTGAGCTGCAAACCGGCAAACCCGGGAGCGCGGGTAGAGAAGGAGTCCTTCTCTAAAACCGGAGCCCGGGCCGAATGACATCGTCTTCCTCTGCCGAGCCCGCACCCTCGACGTCCATCTGCTCCTCAATAGGGACCAAAGTCCCCTTGGGAGGAACAGGGGCCGCCAGAGGAGCCATCTCCGGAGAGGGAAACTCCTCTATATGGTGTTCAGACGCAGCGCGTCCAACAGTCGTAGCTGTAGGCTTGGGTCGGAGACCCGAAGCCGACCCCTGGGAACAGAAGACCGGCGGGTCCGCGCTGGAGGCGGAAGTCTTTAAGGTCTGGCAAACCTTTATGGGACCGGCCAACAAGGCCCCGAAGTAGCAGAACATTGGGGGGATTCCGCACTGCTATAACATTTCCTAGAGGAGAGACCAACCCCTATGGGTTCCACGAGTGAAGACGCATGGGGTAAAACCCAAACCCCTGAGGGAATGGGAACGGTCCAGCGGGCCGAGAGTAACCCCAGAACTGGCCAAGATGGCCCGCCTGAGTCTGGGGCTGGACACCCTGTCCAAGGACCAGGATGAACCGCCACTCCCACCAAGTGGAAACCCAGACATGTACGACCGTAACTGCTGAGTAACTGTTGGTTACCAAAACCATCCGCAGGTTGGCCTGGGCGACCCAGGAATAAGTGCCCGCAGGCACCCCTGCTCCCTGAGCCCGGGGGAAAGGGAGACCGGAAACCGGACTCCTGGCCTGAAGCCCCAAACCCTTGGGGGAAAACCCCTGGGAAAACCTGCACTGGGAAATCTGTACTGGGACGGAAAGTCCCAGAGCCAGAGGCCTGTGAGGGTGGGAAAACAGACCCCGCGCTGACACCAGGATTAGTGAACTCAAGTGTCACTAATCCCCGTAGCCACAGACAATCCTGACAAAAAGTCTGTGGCCCCTGACCCTATACCCGAAGGCACAGTTCCGGAGTCAAACAACGAAGTTCTCGAACAATAAAAAAAAACTACGAACGAGAGCACAAAGCCTACCGTACGCAGCAAGATTGCACTGCATAAATAAAACGGTCGTACAACACGGCCGACAAAGCAGCAATAAAACAAATTCCAACTTCACGCAAATCCGAGCAACGAGACAAGTAGTCACGCACTCGAATACGTGGAGTAAAAAACGGCCGGAAATACGGTCAAAATAAACAAATGACAATACTTAATTTCACAATATAAGTTGGGAGATGGGTTTATAGACTACTAATAGAGTAACAATATACTCAAACGACAATGGCAGTACGAAGAGAAGGAGTAAGAAAAGCACTTAGCTCAGACACCTCCGCACTCGCCGGCAGCCATAAAGGTAAGAGGAAGGGAGATCACTCTGCGTTCCTCCCGTTATGGCTCATGGATCGTAGGGTAGCAGTAAACAGTTAATTTGCATTTTTCCTGAAATTATTTGTCATGTTTGAGATATACAGGTATAGCAGATTGGTTATGAAAAATACATCATTACATGTATATATATTTATAAACTATATAACAATTACATTAACAGTAGAGAGATGAAATTTGTGTAAAAAAAAAATTTCCTCTGATTTCTGACATTTGATTGTCATGGTTACCTACTGAAAAAATGCTAAAAATGCAAAAATACTGCTAATTCCAACCCAACACTACAACTTTCTAGTTTAATTTAAACACCTATCTTACAATCAACAACACTGTCATGGTAACAAAGTACTTATTTCAGCAAATTCCAACTCGGAAATTCTTCATAACATGACCACATGTGAACACTATGAAAATTTCACTTCCTGTAAAGCTAGTTTTTGGTGCGTAGACACAGATTCGAGACTGCCCAAATAGTAATCTCCAACACAAAGCTAAAATATTATCCTGAAAAAAATGAAACCCCACATTGTCCACTTTAACATGACAGGACCAATTTTAGCAAGGATTTTTTTTTCATTTTTTAATTAAAACCTTTATAATGGGGTAATCTAATGAGCAAAAAAATCACCCACGGCCACACCGAGAAACTGTGTACTGCTACCTAGGGAGGGCGGGATTGTTTTTCTTTTGAATCCTTTGTTGTTGGGATACAAAGATGGGTGTATGTACTGAATTTGCATACTAAAGTTATGGTAATTATTACTGAAATGAAATGTACATTTTCCACTAAAGGTCTCAAATGGGACCAGACAAAACAATGAAACAATGGGGTTCTTTGTTAGTAGTTTAGAAAGTGAGAGTCACCAGGAGGAAAACAAGGAAGAATATGACAGGCTTCGGACGGCTACCTGTCAGTCATACTCATCTACGTATTTATTTATTTATTGAAATTAGTAATTACTAAGAAATTGCGAAATTTATTTACAAAGTCAGACTCAAGTTTAAAACATACATTTATAAATGTATCCCATGCAGTGAGGATATTACACATTATCATAATGATGTTGCATCGGATTTGGGCATAACTAATATTTAGCACTCTTCAAACAGTTTTTATCCAATCACTCTTAAGTAAAATTTGCCCTCTTTCAAAATACAACGTATAGAGAAACATACCTTAAGTATAATAATGTTGACAGTTTTTCGCAGTCAGTAATACACAATTTTGATAAATATTACAATTACATATGCAAATTCGAAGTACGGAGGGCAAATACGTAAGGTCTCTTCCAAAAAATGTATACAAATGTTTCAATACATTCATCGTCATTTAGAGACACATACAATCTTGAACAAAAAAATGTGTATTTTTTACCAATTTTTGACCCCCTAACATCATTTTGCACATATATTCAGGCACATGTTTCTTGTACGATTTCAATTCGTGTATATAAACCATCGCCATCGAAACGGTATCACCATAATGTACAAATCATATAGCAGACGTCTGAGCTACTTATACACTAACAGATGTTGCCATGACAACCAACGGAAAACCGTTATTATGGCCAGTGACGTATATACGTCTCTGTTACGGCGAAGAGTTTAACAATGAGATCAGCTGCTTGGTATATAGGCCATGTTTTGATGATATGTGAAAGTTACAAACCAAGCATATCAGAAATATACTAAAGCATCCTATGGAAAGTTATATAGACGTATAACGTTAAGATGAAATTCTCTTTCTGTATGACAATGAGGCTGCTCCCTGAACAGGGATATTCGATACATGTGTTGTGCATAAGACTCGACTTGTAGTCTCATTTTACGATCAAATTCTGAATAAATACTTAAACATAATAATATGTACAAACTGTAGAATATACTTACAATTACATGGTATGCTATAAAATCTTCCTAATGGATGTTTTCGATGTACACGTAACGTTCACATGTGGAAGCGATGGATCGGCATGCGCACATATACATTGACTGTGGTGAACTGCCACTATAGGGGAGCAGGCACTGCGTTAATTATGTGTAAGGCATACGAACCGCAAATAATAACGTGCCAGTGCCAAATTTTGTAATGCTATCTTAATGTCTTGTCAAACCAGTTCGACCACTTTGTCGTATTGTTAGGTAATAACACTGAAACCACATTTCTGCATGTGCCAAACATGCTGTGATGTCTGGTGAAGTATATACATGTGTAAATATGCCGGGATGTCTGGTGAATTATATACATGTGTAAATATGCCGGGATGTCTGGTGAATTATATACATGTGTAAATATGCTGGGATGTCTGGTGAATTATATACATGTGTAAATATGCCGGGATGTCTGGTGAATTATATACATGTGTAAATATGCTGGGCTGTCAGGTGAATTATATACATGTGTAAATATGCTGGGATGTCTGGTGAATTATATACATGTGTAAATATGCCGGGATGTCTGGTGAATTATATACATGTGTAAATATGCTGTGATGTCTGGTGAATCATATACATGTGTAAATATGCTGTGATGTCTGGTGAATCATATACATGTGTAAATATGCTGTGATGTCTGGTGAATTATATACATGTGTAAATATGCTGGGATGTCAGGTGAATTATATACATGTGTAAATATGCTGTGATGTCTGGTGAATCATATACATGTGTAAATATGCTGTGATGTCTGGTGAATTATATACATGTGTAAATATGCTGTGATGTCAGGTGAATTATATACATGTGTAAATATGCCGGGATGTCTGGTGAATTATATACATGTGTAAATATGCTGTGATGTCAGGTGAATTATATACATGTGTAAATATGCTGTGATATCTGGTGAATTATATCCATGTGTAAATATGCCGGGATGTCAGGTGAATTATATACATGTGTAAATATGCTGGGATGTCAGGTGAAGTATATACATGTGTAAATATGCTGGGATGTCAGGTGAATTATATACATGTGTAAATATGCTGGGATGTCAGGTGAATTATATACATGTGTAAATATGCTGGGCTGTCAGGTGAATTATATATATATGTAAACATGTAGGAATGTCAAGTGAAAGACATTTACAACATCACAAAATCTTTAAAAATAAATTTGCTATACCATGATTTAAGTAAAACTATGTGGAATATCGAAATGAAAGTGATGATCAAAATATACTTATGGAAACTTAAGTCTGATCGATACTCTAAAAAGTGATATAAGCACTAAGCCAACTAGAAAATAAGAAAAAAAACACCCGCTATAAAATGACCGGATATATCTGATACACCATAGAATCAAGGACATCTGTTGATAGGGCCGTGGTATATCATATTCCGAGTAACAGCTTGTGTCTCCTACAGACAGGTTGCCCCCAGCACAAATTTCCTGTCTGCGGGCACTTTACACAATAGATGTTTCCTTGATAAGTAAGCTTAAACAGGACAAGTCCGTCATTTTTGTTTTATTATTGACAAAACGAAATTTTATCTAGTAATGACAATATAGATATATAATAATAACACTTAGCATATTTCCTTCTTGATCCAATAACATATAGGTTGGCCATATGTAGATATATCAGATACACACTTTAGACTTAGATAAACTCGTAATTTTAAATGTCGTGTTTAAAAAGAGCCAAAAACACTAGCCGTAGTGTACAGACATGCATTATATATGTAAACATAACGTGGACACCTTGGAAACAAAGTGTCTTTGTGTCATAGTTACGCATTATTAAAAATCTCATACCGTCAGGGAGAACTTTAATACTTTCGCATTACTTTCACATTTTATTCATTTACCTGAGCATGTATTTTATTCATTGTGTATGCATAAAATACATGCTCAGGTAAATCTGAAGTGTTGAGATATATGTGCAACCCATCCGGTACAGTATGATCATATTTCTTAACTGAACCTTGGGACACTAGCCACTATGACAACAAGTATGTATTGGGGACAAGTTACCTGTTGAAACAGCACCTTGGGACACTAGCCACTATGACAACAAGTATATCCCCAAAAATACAGGTTAATAGGATTTGACATCTGATATTATATATAAAAATGTAATTGAGAGATGAAAAAATGTATAAATATATCTTTTCGCTAAATACGTCTGACTGGACAGCTGACAAACAACTAAAAGTGGAACAGATACCGCCCCCCCCTGTATTGTCCAACAGTAGCATATTTATAACAGTATAACACATACTTTAATATAATATTTTCACCAATTTCAGGCCTAAAATACATATTTATATTTTATCAAATAGTATAAATATATATATATGCCTTTTTATGTTCATCATAGTGCTGTTATATTAGTATATCATGTATAATGTTGCATATGTAATCAATTCTGACATTCATTGCTACCATGGTTTAGTTCTATAGTCTATGTATATTACATACATGTAACTGTATGATAAAAAAGAAGTAAATTTGTTAAATATCTGAAAATTAGGTTTTGGGACAGTCAGGAATACACCTCCGTTACAAGTTCAAGTTCAAGTTCTTTATTTCACCAAAAGTCTTATGACTTAAAGGTACAAGCTATTCATATACAGGTATATATGTTATAGGAGAGTGTCTAAAGCCTACGAGTGCAAACTATAAACACTGAATATATTACAAATACACAAAACTATAAATAAATAACTAATTAATTACGCCTCTTAGTGGCTAGATAGGGTCGGGATCTGTCACATGTAAGCTCGTATACAGGTAAATTGTTATTGCCCGAGGTATCACTACTAACCACTTTCTGAGGTGTGAAATATACCTGATAAGACTAATTGATTTGATTAGTTTATTATGTACAAATATTGATACATATAAATATGTTAAACAGAGATTTGATTAGTTTATTATGTACAAATATTGATACATATAAATATGTTAAACAGAGATTTGATTAGTTTATTATGTACAAATATTGATACATATAAATATGTTAAACAGAGATTTGATTAGTTTATTATGTACAAATATTGATACATATAAATATGTTAAACAGAGCAATGAAGCACAAGAGAATGACTTAAGATTATGTTATCATATCGTCCACAAACAAACGCAATAAAGTGACATTACTAAAGTGACTAAGAGGGCCTCTAAAGAGCAAATATCATATATTGACCAAGCTTACACAAATCTTTTACATTATTCACACTGAGCAATTTTTTAAATACACTGAGGCGACGAAATTGATATTGCTTCAGGTGTCTCACCTGTAAATCTGCACTTAAGTATAAAGTGCAACACATTCTCAATACCATGAATATTGCATAATACTTAAAATACTAATCTTATACAACTGATCGCTAGGATTTTTCATGCAATATTGCAGCCCAAAATTATCTACTTAAAGCTGATACAACATTCGTTTTTGGGAATTCTGTATTTTAGATCGTAAGTCTTGCATATGTATGACATGAAATTCTGCTTTCGCGGAAGTTATTCCATAAATACCCAAACCTGAAGTCATTCATTTCTGATTGCTTATTCATAATCCAATCATCTATATCAACTATTCTCTGTCCATAAAATGCTTTCAATATACAATTTCCAGTTTCTTTCGATTTAACTCAGTATTGCAATATTTTCATTTTCCTAGGAATATACATTGGAAGTCTATCTTATTCGTAATATGCAAGGTCATTACATGTATCTTTACTCACACCTAGCCATTGTTTTACAAACAATTGCATGAACCTTTTCAACTTCTAAGGCTTCATGAAAATCACATACATACTTACATAGGTGTCTAATACAGAACATACTGTTTAAGAATTAAATTTGTAGTTCTTAAATTTACTTGATTATGCAAAATAGGCTTTCCTTCTCTTTGCTGCTATTTGTTGTTGACTTAAAAAAAATTCTGTTAAAACTGTAAAGCATACCAAAATAATTAAATTCATTAACAACCTCCACTTCGCTATTGTCGTAAAACCATCTCTCGTCATGATTTACAATACCACCATTCCTGAAAACTGCAATTTAAGTTTTCTCTACATTAAGGGTAAATTCTTATATAAATATACATCATCGAACATAGATTGTAGAGCACGCGATGTTTCTGCAATAAGAACTGTATCATCTGCGTACATAAGTAAAAATAATAATATCATGCCAATTTCAACTGGTTGACAATTTTCTTCTATAAAATTCATTTCACAGCCATTGACAAGTAAACTGTATAAAATTGATAGATAACCTCTCCATGGAAGAGACCGATTCTGTTCGAAAAATATTTTTGAGTATGACAGTTTTATTTAACATTTTCATACAGGAATTGTTTAATCTTCAATTAATGCAGAGTCCAGCGTTCTTTCTGTCGAAAGAAAACTGTCGAATTAAAAATGACTTATAATCAACAATCATTTCTAATGTTCACGTGATTGTTGTTTACTAATCAATATTTTTTCAATCCGTAATATTAGCCAACCATTTTTACCAAACAACACTAAAAGTGAGATCCTACCACACAGTTTTGCGCATGATACTGTTCGTGTGCGTGTGTGCACGATGTTATGATGTAACATCACTGACGAGCGTGTGCGCATCACTGTGTGCGTGTGTGCACGATGTGCACACGAATTTTGAGGTGCGTTGTGCGTTATCACAACTTTAACGTATTAACGTTATTTCCTCTGTTGAATTTTGTCAAACATTGTGCTTATCATAAATAGGAGACATCAGTCAAATGAAAATTTGAGCACGTGTCCAATCGACTGATGTTCATATCAGTAATATAGCAGTAATTTGTGTTCATGTTTAAAGGAATCTGTTTACAGTGACTGTATTGTGCTAGTTTTACTATACTATGGAGGCTCTTATTTCCTCATATACCACTAAATTTTGCAAAAATCAATTGTATATAGTGCTAGTAAGTCTGACAAGATATTTTAATACATATAAATATATATATATGTGATTATATCATCATTGATATACTTTTTTAAACACGTGATAC